TAAGAAGAAAATTCTCAAGTTGATGTTAAAAATTGCCGCAAAACATTGTTGATTTATTTAAAATCGAATGATCTATTATATGGCATGTCTCTAATTTCTATTTAAATACATTGTTGCAGTTATTTTCAATTTTTCTAGATGAAATTGCTACTTATGTTGCATATGATCTATTATCGTATATACTTAGGTTAGAATAATATTTGTATTTTATATGTATATTATCTTATGAAAATTGAGATGTAATATATTCGGGAGGCATGAGGCCCTTGCATCGGTCCTATATATATATATATATATATATATATATATATATATATATATATATATATATATAAGAAAAAAGAAAAATAATCGTAACTGCCATTTTCATGTTCTGTGATCTTTACGTATGCGCATGCGCATGCGTGTGTGTGTGTGTTTGCGGGCGTGCTTAGACATATGCAGTTAGCGCCTAGAACCTAAATACACAAGTAATGTATTTTTTAGAAGGTCAAACTCAAAGTTTTCTCAGTATGTCTCTGCTTTTGTCAATAATCTCATCTACGACAAGCTGTTGTCATTAAGTGTCATCGCACCAATCAAATTGGCTTCTAAGTAATCTGAATTTGAAGTCAAGCGTGCAGTCGTTCCGACCCGTTGACTTTATTGCAAAAACTGTCGCACCATTTCCCGGCTTTATAGTTTTGATGACTTAATTATCCTTTTCAAATCGCTGTTTCGTCCAACACTTTATTTATGATAGAAGTGCATTCAGATCAGTGATTGAGGTCTTAACACGTAAGTAAAATAAATTCTTATTTGATCTTACCCTCAAATGCAAACTTATTCGTAGCAATTGCTTTATATCATTACCACTCAAAATTGAGTAGCAGTCTGGTTAATTCAACGAGGTGTAATGATTAGCAAGCTTGCCTCGCTAGATCAATTACGAGTCAATAGTGTATTCGATACTCACTGGGTGCTCCATCATTTCGGCCTTGTGCAACAACTAAGCTACGCTTAGAAAATCACCAAAATGGAGTATAAATTACTCTAGTGAATTCGATATACATTGGGTACTCAGATGTGTGGCCCTGAACTTAGACTACTTCGCTTAGTAAATTTTAATTTTGAATAGTGTGACTAGCCCATTCTATTACTATAACTTGAGAACACACACACACACACACACACACACACACACACACATATATATATATATATATATATATATATATATATATATATATATATATATATATATATAAATAAAAGAACAGTAAGATATAAAATCCGGTGTTCTTATAGATATTTTATTTTTACAAAATAGTGCTCAATGTAAATTTACAGAGCATTAATATTTATAAATTAATTGATTTAAAATATGTTTTTTTTCGCTACACAGTTCAACCATGTTTCAAAAATAGAAGCTAAATCTTTTGAATTTAATTTTGCAATTAAATTAGAAGGATGAAATGGAACTAATGCTTCTAATTTAATTGCAAAATTAAATTCGGGGTTTTTATTTATTTTGAAACATGGTTGGAACTGTGTAACAAAAAAAACATATTTTAAATCAATTAATTTATATATATATATATATATATAATATGAGAAATTTTGAACATTCCTATGATTATATGATCATTGATAAATTTGCTAAGTTTATTTTATATACTAAAACATTTACAAAAATATATTTTATAACGACGAAATTATATATATAAATAAATAAGTATATATATATATATATATATATATATATATATATATATATATATATATATATATAGTTTTAAGGTGTGCTATATTTATGGGATAAAGTGCTCAATATCAGCGATAGAACGTATTTAAATATATATATATATATATTATATATATATATATATATATATATATATATATATATATATATATCAAAAGAAAATTTTAATTTTAATATAGTTATATTATATTATAATTTTAATTTCAATTATAGTTATATTATATTATAGTAATTCAAGAGCTTTATCTGCCCTTTATGAGCATTTGTAATTCGTCTAAAGCAAAGTTTATTAAACCTTATTGTTTATTATCGCTCTCCTTCTCTATTAAGCATTTGCTTAACAAAAATTGTACTCGTCTTGAAATACGTTAATTTATAGTAATTTTATGTATTTTCATAACACACACATCTCATTCCCAACAACCAATAAAACTGCCAAAATGACCACGGAGGGAATTCTGAAAGTCAAGAATCTCCCATCCTCTATCATAAAAAAAAAATTCAAAGCCGTTTAACCAACATAAGGACAGACCAAAATTAACGACAATAAACAAATGAAAACTACAGATAAAGTTCAGTTGCAATTTCTCCAGTAGTTCACTGCTACTAACAAGCAAGGATATTTTCACCTGATGATGGCCATGCTGGCCGAAACTCGTCGATGAACCTAATTGAAGTAATAAAACAAAAAATATTAATATACAACACAGTGTGTCTGAAAATTTTAATTTTTTTAAATATTTTTATTGTTCAAGACAGAAATTTCCATATCTCGAAACTAAAACCTAAATCCGAAATTAAACTTAAAATTTGAATTTCAGTTCCATTTTCAAACGATGCATTATAACTTTTTTTCGTAAGTTATACTGCATCGCTTGACAATGGAACTGAACTTTAAATTTTAAGTTTAATTTAGGATTTAGGTTTTAGTATGCTAATTTCTTTGTCGCGATGAATGAATATTTAAAAAAAAATTATAATATTATGCTCTACTGTGTATCGCGCACTGTTTTTTTAAAAAAAAATAAATGCAAAAGAACTCTGGACTATAAATCTGTTTTTTTTTCTTTTTTATATATATATATATATATATATATATATATATATATAGAGAGAGAGAGAGAGATGTGTGTATGTATATGTGCGTGTGTGTGTGTGTGCGCGTGCGCGCGCGTTTTCTAAGTCTTTTTAACCTCCACTCTTTGATAAAAGGCTGTAACGCCTTTTCCCCAGTCAGTTCTGGTAGGAGATTAATCACTTCTCTCTATTCCTCTCCAAGTGAACTTGATGATTTCTAATTCCTGGTTTTATTTGCCCATTTTAATTTTTTGTTTTCTCTTATTTGTTAATTAATTCCGACTCCGATTGGAAAATTGATTGATTGCTTAGTTCTTTACATACGGCTTATTTCCAAATTATTTAAAGCTAGAAAATATTTTTCAATTGTAAGTATTTTAGGAGAAAGAATAATGGTTTTAATGATACAAGTCTTACTAATTAATCCATACCTGGGGGGAAAAGTGGATTCATAGCTTTCTCAAAGGAATTTGTGCGTAAGATAATATCCAGAACCCAACTGGAATTGTAACTCGGCTCTTAACAATTCCGAGCCATTATCCACTACACCAACCGCAAATTCGAGGCTCAACCTCGCTTAACTTCAGTGATCGTACGGGAACCGGTGTTTCAACATCATATTACCGCAAGCCCTGGGCTGTCTGTCTGTTACATTTAGATTGGCTCAAGTGCCCTTGGGAAAGGCATTAACCTGTCTGTCCCTCAACCAACAAATAAAGGCTATGGGCTAAATACTAGGGTAGACTAGTCTGTCTAGCTTTATATATATATATATATATATATATATATATATATATATATATATATATATATATAATTACTATTTAGGAAAAAAAAAAAAAAAAATTATAACATAAGTATGTTATAAAATCACTACAAAAATAGCCATTTTGTTTCAACACACTCGGTGTCTTATCAAGTGATGATGTTGAAGATAAAAAATAAATCTGCTCTACTTTGTATTGAGCACTCTTTTAAGAATAGTAATTGTTGGTTATTGGAATTCATTCCGTATATACCAATTATATATATATTATATATATATATATATATATATATATATATATATAGAGAGAGAGAGAGATAATATTAGTGGTCAATATATATATAAATTTCCAAGAGGATAGGGTCCAGGTAGAGGTCAATGTCCAGGACAGAGCAAGAATATAATATAAAAGGCTCAAACACTAATATGCCATGGTTATAATTTATTACATTCATCAGACTTACAAATTCAAAAAGAAATCGGAGTTATATTTTCCGAATTGGATCGTGATTACGATTCCAATGTAATAAATTATAACTATGGAATATTAGTGTTTGAGCCTTTTATATCATATACATACACACATATATATATATATATATATATATATATATATATATATATATATGTATGTATGTATGTATGTGTGTGTGTACCTAAAAAACGATATCTGAAGTTTAAAATATATTTTAGAAATGAAAATTTTTTCTTGAATCCCCCAGTTTTAATTCCAAGTTAATAGATTAAATTTTATATTTACAATAAGCAAAATAATTTGGTGTATTTCAAAATGAATTAATATTCAGAGTCTGTCTATATTTCTGAGATGAGGTATTATGTACAGTACTGTTCTAGTTCCACGTGCCATGTTTGATGGATGTCAGTTATCAGTTATCTCCTGCTAATTTTCCCTCTGAAAGTTCTCCACTGCCTTAACCAGGGATTGAACTCACCTTCTTTGGGTCTGTCACTGGATCTAACCAACGCCTTTATCCACTGTGCCATGTGTCCTAGTACGGCCTTGGTATTGTTATAGTCAGGTTTTATGTTGAGCCCCATAGTTAATAATACTTTTAAAAAAATATTGGGGGAATATTAGCTCCCTAAGACCCCCACCCCACCCTTCTGCAAGTACAACCTTTGTATTGTTGTGGGGTTTTATCTGGACCACACGATTTTCAGTTATTTAAAAGTATTGGGGAGGAAGCTTAACCGTAAATCCCCACTACTGAACGGCCCTAAAATCGATTTTTATTTCATAGTTACTGAATTTTCCTACCTTGTCAAAATTACCGAATTTTCCGTTACTGAATTTTCTTTAACCGAATCTTCCGTTACTGAATTTTATAAAAACTGCTAAGAGCCACACGAGATAAGAAGTTGTGGAGAGCCATAATCGCCTATGTTCTGAAGTGACGAGTTTCTTTCTTTTATTCTTTATTTATTTATTTCTCTTTCATTTCCCCCCCTCTCTCTCTCTCTCTCTCTCTCTCCACGTATATATTTTAAAATTTTCCTTCTCTTATTCTTTCTCCTTCTCCCCTCCGTCTTTCTTTCTTTGTTTCTTTCTCTTGTTCTTTCTCTTTCCCTTTCCCTTTTCATTTTCTCTCTCTCTCTCTCTCTCTCTCTCTCTCTCTCTCTCTCTCTCTCTCTGGCTCTATCATTAACACATATGGTATTAAGTGCAGTCATATTTAATTTAAACATTCAGGGTCTCGTCTCGTAATTCCGCGTACTTTATACATTGAATACAGCTAGCAAATTCTGTTCTTTCCCTACCCATAAGGAATTTCAGTACTATATATATATATATAATCATGAACCGCTCTCTCTACATATATATATATATATATATATATATATATATATATATATATATATAGGGAGAGAAAGAGAGAGACAAAGCGGTTCATGATTTACTGGTTTCACTCAACCAGCTTGGGGTAGTCTCCTTGTGTCCTGAGGGTCGCCGGGTGACGCTCCCGTAATCTAAACGTAAAAGCCCTTGTTGTAGCGCCGTGAGACGAATCAACGAATCAGAGACGATACTTGGCGCCAATTGCAGAAAAACGAGAAAGCGAAGGAACACAGAAAGTTATCGGTCTTTTTTCTTTTTTTTTTCTCTTTCTCTTATCCTTCTCCGCCAACTTTGATGTGTGTTCGACCCTGAAATGACCCAAGCCATAGTTTGGATGCACTTTGTCACCTCTCTTCTTTTTCTGTATATTTTATTTATAACCTTTTTTGCTTTCCTTCAATCTGGCTCTCTGTGTTCCCACTCTCTCTCTCCCTCTCTCTCTGCCTCTCCCCCACTCTCCCTCTTTTTCTTTCTCTTTCACTTTGCTTTATATTCTCTTCACACCTGTTTCTCCATTTTTTACCATGTTATTATAGGCCTCTTGTTTTTCCTTTTCCCTCCTTTAATTACTCCTTCTTTAATTCTTTCTTTCTACATCATATTTTATTCTCGTTTCCGTCTCTCTCCTCCTCTCTCTATCTCTCTTTCACACCTTCTTCCTTTAATATTCTCTTCGTTTTTTGTTTTTTTCATTTCTTTTTAGAATTTTACTGTTTTCTTTCTTCCGTTTTCTTCATTCTCTTTCTCTGTCTCTTATTCCTTCTTTCTGTATATTTTTCTCTCATCTTTTTCTATTTCCTTAATATATGTTTTGTTTTTTTCTCTCTCTTTTCTTACTTTTCTCCATTTCTTTCTTTCTTTCCTTCTTTCTTTCAAATCTTTTCCCTTCTTTTTCTTTATTCCGTTAACATTTATTTACTCTTTCCTTTTGGTTTCATTCTCACTCTCTATCGCTTCTTTCTTTCTTTCTTTCTTTCTTTCCATTCCCACCCGTCTCCTTTCTTCTCTGTATTTTTTTATTCGTTCTTTTTTTCTTTCTTTATAATTCTCTCCCATTCTCTTTATCTATTCTGCTTAAACTTTTTATTGTTTACTTTTGCAACTCGTTTCTTCTTCTCTCTCTCTCTCTCTCTCTCTCTCTCTCTCTCTCTCTCTCTCTCTCTCTCAACTTAATCTTACTCTGTATATTTTTTTACTCTTTCGTCACGCCTTCTTATTCTTCATTTTGTCTCTTCCTTTTTTTTGGTCAGTGTTTATTTCTTTTACGCTATTCCTTTTTCTATTGCTCATCTGCCAGTCACTATGTTTTTCTTCCTTACTCTCTCTCTCTCTCTCTCTCTCTCTCTCTCTCTCTCTATTAATATCATTCTTGCTCTCTTTTTAACCTCTCCTTTTTCCGCTTCTCTTTCTCTAACTCTGATAAACAGGGTGTGTCTGCGTTCTCTATCCCGTTATCTAACATGCCCTTCACGAAATGTACTGAGGTAACTTTTACAATTGTCAAACCCAATCTTTTCTGGGGTCGTACACTCCTTAAAGATTAAAAAGAAAAATTAGGAAATAGGTAGGAATTTCTTCCTAATTATTAATCGAAAAACCAGTGAGGTATTCTACGTTAACTGATCTCCTACTCCTACTCCTCCTTCTCCTTTTTCATCTCCCGTACCTCCTCCTTCTTCTTCCGCTTCTCCTCCCACTTCTGGTCCTACCACCTTTTTTTCTTTAATTTCCTCGTTTTCATGAAATGGTTAAAGGCTTATAAAAGTTCATGTAATGAAAAAATGTAAAATTATATAAAAATAATTATAGGATAAATAAAAAATTAACAGTAGGTTTGTTTATTACACTTTCTTTTGAGGAGAGTGTTTTAAAAAAAACATTTATTAATAGAAGCAAGTTGCTAACACGTATTCTTTAAATAAAAATCTGTTATAATGAAGCTCGTAAAAAATGGTTGGGAATGAAGTTTGATGTGTAAACCTTTGTATATGTGAGGCTCAATTTGATGTTGTAAAAGAACTGTTAAAATGAATCATGATGGTTTATAAAAGATATATGCATAATTTTTTTCTTTTTAAATGTAATAAAAAGAGTCTCAAGTCCGATGGTCTGAAAACCGGCCTAAATAAAGTTTACAAACAGGCGTGGTTTAAAGAGATACATTTTGTGATTATTTAACCAATGTAGGAAAGTAAGTTATCAGATTTTCTATCTACGTACACTTTATCAACATTTGTTGCACCACCACACCTACTGCAGATAGTCTATATGTATGCATTCTTTAAACTCTTGTTTAATCTGTTGTTTATAACATTTTAAATCTTTTTTTCTGTCGTTTTTTATCTGTCTCTGTTCCCTTCTTTGTTTATCTCTCTGTTTCGGTCTCTGTCTGTCTGTCTGTCTGCCTGCCCTCTCTCTCTCTCTCTCTCTCTCTCTCTCTCTCTCTCTTTAAGTATAGAAGTGTCAGTAATTTTCTCGGTCCTGACCTGGCATCTCGACTTCAGTGACTTTCCAACGGCCGTGACGTGTCTTCCCTCTTTTTTGTCTATAAATATTTTCATGGCAGTTATTCTCATGAGACGGTGAGGTATTATGGTGGATGTAGTAAGAAAGGTACGTATGAATCTGTTATTTTGGTGTAAGGAATATTGTTCGTACGATTGGATCAGTGTTTGCGGTTAGCTAAGTTATAGTTAAGACAGAAGAAGACTTTCCTTTCCCCAATCCCCCCTACGGCCTTGTGCCACATTTCTATATTGTACAGAATAAATATCGTTCTCTTCCTTGGTACCTCGACCGCATTAAGCGTACGACTAGATTGGCAATTAGGTCTCGTCGTTTGATTGTTAAAATGGCTAGATATAACCTCAAGTTTTATTCGAATTGTTTTTTCGCGCATTTCTCGCATGTGAAACTTTCTCCCAATTTCTCGTTTCTCCTACACCAACAACCTACAAAAAATTAAATGCAGCGTCAATCGCCATCTTTTGTCTTCCTGAATCCTGTTCTTTTATTGACCTTTCCCCTCACTAAAGTCTTCTCATTCTCTTTCACTCTCATTAACCCATTGTGTGTTAGTGACATTATCGCCTTGCTTCGGGTGAAATGATAAAAATATATTGTTTTTCCTTCTTTCTTTTTTTTTTTTTTTTTGCGAGCTTTCTTAAATATCATAGACTATTAACAAGAGACAGAAGTTCACTCTTTTCCACGTTTCCGACAAAAAGAAGAATGTTTGCGTCAGGGAATGCGACTAGCTAAGTTTAGGGGGTGAAAACCAACATCTCTTCCCCTCAAATACCGACCTTATACCATATTTCGTATTTTTAGATACAAATAAATATTCACTACAAAAAAGAGGCGGCAACAGCGAGATGGTTAAAGAGCATGATTTGCACACCGTTGATACGGAAATTTATTTCTACCCTGTGTAGAGACCCACAACTAATGCCAAGTATCTGGTTAAACTAAGTCTTGCGTTTATTATTTAACAGAAGTTATTTAGGTAATATTACGAGAAGGAAATCAGTCAGCTTACCCTTTAGAAACTACGAAAATTCAGACATCTCGTAATATTACAAGTAATGATTAACAATGCAGGTGTAAAATTAATTACTGGCATTGCTAATCAAGCTTCCAGGTGAAACAATATCAGATTACATTTGATTCACCTAACTTAAGGTAACTTTAAATTGCGTTCAGATTACCAATAAGTAGGATTAAATTAATTGGAAATGAAATCGTAGTGAGTGATTGCATCCTACCCAACACGCTTACATATTATCCCCTTTGTTGGATTACCGCCCCTGACGATAATTACAGGCGGCGCGATGTTTGAACGACTCAGCCTATTTTCCCTGTTGACGTTAGAGCATCAGCACGTGTTAATTCTCTTCTCTCTCTCTCTCTCTCTCATCATCTCTCTCCTCTATAGAGCACGCGGCATCTAAGTACTTCAGAGATATCAACTGAAGATGGTGTTGAACTGTCAATAACTTCAACTTTGTTTCTTTCATTACCATTTTGTAATACAATATATATCTTGTTAATACATTTAGTAATTGTTATTTGTTTAAATTCCATGTCTTGCCTCATTTTTAACTCTGACTTACAACACACTTATTCAGTAACCTTCTATCTTGAGTGACTCTTGAGCCTTACACTGGGTAAACATTAGCATTAATGCATTTTATTCAATAAATTTACCAGGGGTTGTATGTATAAGCATTTATCATTTTAGTTATTTCAACGAGTGAAGGAGTAATACGAACAGTGGTGGGTTTCAGGCTTCACCGAGTGTGGGGTAATAAGAGAATGTTATGATTTTTTCCTGATTGCGCGCGCGTGTGTGTGTCTGTGTGTGTGCTCGGTAGTGAGAGTGAAATGAACAAAACACAAGGCTTCAAATAACTGTTCAAGTGTTTTTATTTCTAGTCGAAAGAGAGTACAAAATAGTAGAATTTTACGGGAGAAAGTAGCGTTTACCAGTTACAAAGTTCTTGAGTAGTTGTTTTGTAGAGAGAGATTTCTCTGCTAATATCCACGAGAGGAACGAGAAATCTGAGTGGGAAACTGCTGAGACAGGCCTCGTCTTCTGCAGCAAGGGTTGTATGTATTTTTTTTTTCCTTTGGGTAGCTATCTCGAAGGAAGATTTCTCCGCCGGTTCCAATGGGGGGAGCGGGTACGAGAACTCTGAAGTTAAGCTACCAGGACAGGCCTTGTCTTCTGCAGCAAGATGGAAAAGTGGGAATAGAAGCCGCTCAAATGGAAGAAAGGCCGGTATGCCTCAGCATTTTTATGGGTTCTGGTACTTCCATTTGTACCCTGCTTATTACTTCCGTTGTTGCTACTGCTGAATCAAGCAAAGGATGGAAGCCTCCACATGCCACAATAACCAACAAGTAAGATATTTGTCTATAAAGTAACTTAAAGGTAAGCGAACATTAAAGGAACATTGAGTAAAACGAACAAATAAATACGATAGTCGTCTTAAAATAAACATTTCTAATTTAGATGGGCGCCTCGTCGTGATGCAATGGTAAAGAGATTGATTCTTGTTATTGTGGCACCTTGCATTATTAGAAATATTCATAGAAATATGATTTAATTTTTTTTTACTCGGTTTATTAAACAGGTTGTTGATTTTTTTTTAAAACGGAAAATAATTGAGTTGAAAATAATTCACTAAGATTGTACTTAGACGATCCTAAGGGAAGAAAAAAAAAAGAAAAAAAGAAAAAAAAAAAAAAAAGTTGGATGGATAATGACCCGGTCATAAGCGAAGATAGGTGTCAGAAAGATATCTTGGCCTGCGTGTTGGCCGAATTTTTTAAAGACAATTGGAAGAATTGAATTAGAAATAAAAAAAAAAAAGAAAAAAAAAAAGACATGATATCAAAAAACGGGCCGCTTGATGAAAACCAGATATCGGTCAAAACATCTAGCCTACTTTTGCGTAGAAAGACTCATTATCAATTTGGAGAAAGGGAAATTTAAAGAACAATAGAGCGAAATTTTAATCAGAGAAAAGTGTGTTTTTGGGTTGAGGGGGTGACCGGTGGAACTATATACAGATTCTGACCTGTTAAAATTGGAAACCCACGATAATAAAGTGGGAGACATTTTCAATGTAGATAATTAAAATTTTTGACTGTCGGGTCTGACAAAAACAAAGAGGTGAAAAAAACGATTGTCTCAGTTCACAGATAGCGCCAATATTCTTTCCTGAAGTCACATCTAATTAGCGGCGGGCTGTTTGACAGAGCCCAGGTGAGAAAAAGCCAAGATTGTCATTTTTCGTACGTGCAAAAAAAAAAAGGGCAAAATTGGATTTTTTTTTTTAAAAACAAGAACGATGTAAACCACGCCCGAATACGGTCACGGATGCGGGAGAAAGGATGCTCGATCAAGAACAATTGGTCGGAAACGGTCACGTGATCTGCGGAAAAGAAGAGAAAGAAATGCTCGATCAGGAACCATTGGTCGAAAACGGTCACCTGACATACGAGAGACTAAGAGAGATGGGTGTGCGCCTCCCCACCAAAGGCACTGTGAGGAAGTAGGGGTGAAAACAATAGCGATAATGGGAAGTCAAAAATAATGCGACTTTTGGAATTATCGAGAAACCCCTGACGCCGACAGACCCACCCCGGTTTGTTGCGGCGTCAATAAA